ACAATTTTCTGACCTACCCAGTAGAGCTCTTCAATGTTGTGTGGGTGGCTCAGATCTCCCTCATCTGCTTTGCTGTGCTAGTAGGATTATTTACCCAGACCCAGATCTCAGAGCCCTGGGTAGTCAGGTAGTTTTAAGAGGGGGAAAAAAAGCCAGTGAAATCACATGCATGCACCCTGGGTCTGATGTTTTTCTTTGTTGTCACCTAATTGTTCGTGCCTTCACTGTAGGGGGAAGGGGAAATTCCTGATAAACCTTCTGAGTTTTGCAGCTAACTCTCAATGATAACTTCTTAAAGATAGTTTTATGTGCACCCATGTCTCACGGCTGTAATCCTGGCTACTTAAGAGGCTGAAATCTGAAGATTATAGTTTAAAGCCAGCTGGGGCAAGAAAGTTGTGAGACCTCCAATTAATCAGTAAGAAGCCAGAAATGGAGGTGTGGCTCAAGTGTTAGAGTGCTCGCCTTGAGTGAAAAAGCTAAGGGACAATGCCAAGGTCCTAAGTTCAAATATCAATACTGGAACAAAGATAAAAAGAAAGAAGAAAAAAAGAAAAAGAAAGGAAGAAAGAAAGAAAAAGAGAGAGAGAAAGAAAAGGGAGGGAGGGAGGATGGAAGGAAGGAAAAGAAATAAGGGAGAAAAAGAAGGAAAGAGGGAGGGAGGGAGGAAGGAAGGAAGAGAGGAAAAGAAAGGAAGGAAGGAAAAAAGAAAAGAAAGAGTATGTCTAGTAGTATACATCTAGGATAATCTTGACAAGCAGAATAGGTCAAAAACTATGTACATATGACCACATAAGATGATACTAAGTGAAAAGAATCCCAAGATAGGGCCTCAAGTTGTTTTATCTTTCTTGCTGTTGTTTTTAATGTATATATAATGTACTATGTGATTTTTTTTCTTGTTTCTTTTGTATGTTCTACCCCCATGGTATAACGACTGTTTTCACTGTATTTGATTCCGGTGATCTCATCTTGTATATACATTTTTCTAATTTGGGGAGGTGAAGGGAAATAACAAAATCCTGAAACAAGAATACAGGTTGACCCATTGTAACAATGAGCTGTACAAGACACTATGTTGAAAATGAACTTTACAACTTTGGGAAGGGGGGAGGAGTTGGGGAGGTGAGGAGGGAAGGGATGGTAGGGGAAAAACAAAGGAGGAGGTAACAATGCTTGATAGGAAATGTACTCATTACCTTACTCATGTAACTGTAACCCCTCTGTACAGTATCTTTACAATAAAAATATAAAAAAGAAATAAAGGAAAGCAGAAGGAAGGAAAAAAATAAAGTTTTAGTGATCTGATATCTGATTAGTATAATTTACTTGATTTATATGGTATCCACAAATCATACAAAGCAAGTGTCTATGGACTTCTTTTAAATCTTGTATGTATATCTATCCCACATCCTGCCTTTCCATGCAAGGGATCCCTCTCATTTGCTAGACTTTTGTCCATACCTTTAACTTTACTTTTTAAAAAATAAGTAAATAAAATTTCACCCATATGTATGTTACATTCATCCTTTGTAAGATGAAACCTTTTCTTCCACTTTGTACAATGTTAAGGATTGGTCTACCCAACAGAATAGTTCCTCCATCTTCACCACTCCATCTTCTCATATGAATTTTGAGTGTTTCCAGAGTTTTTGTTTGAGCAGTACTTCCATAGCCCTCCTGTGTATTGATACTAATGTAAGTGCAGGAGAATTCCTCCACTTGGGAATACAGTTCCTGGGTCAGAGAGCATGGGGATGCTTATGGTGATAAAGGAATGCCAGTTTCCCAGAGTGGCTGAAGCAGGCCATCCTTCCTCCAGCCAGGCAGTATCAAATGGGACTAAGAACATTATTTGAATATGAATTCCAATTGTTCGTTAGTTGTAGAAAAGTTGGAAAAGTTATTACTTTCTACAAACTTCAATTTTCCCATTTATAAAGCACAGGTGACCAATTGCAATAAAGAATAGGCTATTTGCTAGACTTAAATAATCTGTGCAATGCCAAGTAATATATCACAGTGTGAGACACACAATGACCATTAGCAATTACTTTATGTTCAGATCAGAGCTAAAAGTGAATGCAATTGAATACAATACTGTGATCATCTAGATGTTTTTGCCCCCCCCCATTTATTTGTTGAAACTTAATCATACAAGGTGATCATACTGAGAGGACTGATAAATCCTAAGGGTGGGTCCTCATAGGTGAGGTGAGTATCCTCATAAATAAGGACTGAGCTTACTCCATCCTTCATGTGAAGAGTAGTACTATGTTTGAAGCAGAGAGCAGTCCTCAAGAGACACCAATCTGCTGGCACTTCATCTTGTACTTTTCAGCCCCCAGAATGGTGAGTAATCAATACCTGCTGTTTATAAATTACCCAGTCTATGATATTTTGCTATGGAAACCCACATTGATGGAAACAAGAACTTTACATTTTGTGATCATGTTGGTTGAACTCCTTGCCTTAATGAAAATGTTACATCGTCCCAAATCCTGGTGCCTTAACATTGCCAACTAGCATTAACCTGCACTCCTTGTGCTGTTGTTTAGGATGTTCTAAATAACTGTTTTCTATGTATTGTTTATCACTTTACTATATCCTGCAAAGATAAAGATCTAATATAATAGTATAGGAACATATATTATGATATATTCATAGTATATATCATATATCATGCAAATTGTTTTCCAATTAGCTTCACCAATAGGAATCTTGATAACTAATCTAATTAACATCCACCACTACAGCTGATGCTTTGTGCATATTAGTTGAGTTTTCCCTTTGAACTGTCTATGGACTGCATTGCCTTCAGAGCCCCATAAGGCAACCAAGCTACAGCAAAGCTCCATGACAGTGATGAAGCTGTTATTAGAGACAGCCAATGGGAAGGCTGAGAGCCTGGCCCCAGAGCAGAGCAGTGATGTAGCAAGTATAAGACCATGAGTTCTAATCTCAGGAAGGAAGGAAGGAAGGAA